GACATGGCTAGGAAAAGCCAAGTTTTTTGCCTACGTTTTAACTCGAAAACAAAGCAAAAACCAGTGACAAAAATACAGAACCACGTTTTTCTATTACATCGAAGACCACATGCAAAAATTCAGCTAATTTGGAGCAAAAAAAAAGAAAAGCAACCAAAATCGTTACTTATCCCCTTTTATGACTAGCTTCTTCATATGATAATTACTGACCTCAAATGAATGAAGAAGATTGTGGACTCCATTTAATAATTCAAACGATTTTAGTGTAGTCGATCGACTCTCAGTAGTGACTTCTGGTAGAATTGGGCCGCTGCCGCTCAGTTAATATTCGAAAGATGTAAACATGCATTTGGCCTCTATGACAACCACTGTACATGTACCAATGACCTTTTGAATTTGGGGTACTGTTGGTGCAAGGCAGGTGGAGCAGTGTTGGAAGAGCTGCAACAGAGAATTTTCGAAGACCAGGAACTTTCTTCCAAAAGGGGCACTTTCTTCCTCTGAGTCTGTCGTGTCATCACCCATAACAATATCTTCCTCGTCTTTGATTTCTTCTTCCTAATCGTCGAAAGTCCTGAAAAATCGTAATGAAAGAGAGTACTTTGAATATTCCACAAAATAAAAGGTGATGGCCAGAACGGCAACTTGCTGCAAGAAATGACCATGTAGATGTCACTAACCACTCCTCGTCCTCTTTTTCTCCATGGCAAGAGTAGTGATCGCAACTGCTCTCTTGATCATCATTTACGTCCTCGTCTTCTTCATCCTGTTCAACATCAAAATTTTCATCCGACTTTTCTTCAATGAGAGAACATCGCACTGCACTGGAAAAGGCTGGTGACGAATGTAATGTTTTACTATGAGTCTTGGGTTACCCACCCTACCAGCAGAGCTGCTTACACTTCCCCCGAGAAGAAGGGGAAGGGGTAAGGAAACGGCCTCCCAGCAGAGTGTCTTTTTGAGATACATATAGATGATCATCTTTATATACCAATACAAATAGTTAGAGGGTTTGTTTTTACATTCCAGTTGCATCACGATTATTGTATCGTATGGTCAACGGAAGTAGTATAAACAACTTACTCTTTTTAAAAGGTGTTTGCGTCTGCACTGAACGATACTCTCTCCTTCTAATTTGGGTTAGGCGACTTTTTGTCTGCAAACAGTTAAGTAACAAAATAAATAAAAACCTAAGGAAAGGGATCAAGGGATCATTGTAGTTGTACTGTAATCTACCGACAGTTTTAAGAATCTGCGTCCCCCTCTCCCTTTCTCCGCTGGAAAATAAACCTAAACGTTTTAAGAGAGTACAAGTTGCTATGGAAATGCAGAGATCTACTTTATCCTAAACAATTTTGATGTTTATGACAAATCTGAGAACTCTGCAAGTTTCAACAGGTGAAGTGCATGGTAATAAAACTAAAGTAGAAAAGAGCAAGTAAAGAGTTATTTTTTAGTAAAAAATCGAATTAACTAAAACAGACGGTAAAACACTAACTAGGAGAAATTTGATTTCGGACGGAGGGGCAACATCAACACCTCCCGTTGCTTTGTGGCTGTTGCTGCTGACTCCTGAAGCCATCTCGCCTTTTTTAGGCCGTAGACTCGTGTTAAGTGTAAATACACAGCGAAAACCTGTAGCTCTTTCATTCGATGCCTTCCTTTTCAGTTCATCTTCATCATTGGTCTCAACACTTTGAGCTTTATCAGACTCGGTTGATGCTATCTTTTCCAGATCATCAGCATTTGTCTCGATACTCTGATCAGCTCTCTCCGGCTCGCCAAGCAATTCATCTAGCATCTGATAATGAAGAATAAAAATAAAACTTCCCCACTGGCCTTTATTTGGTGTAATTTTATGTAAAGAACATGCATGCCCCGGTTTCACGTTTGTCCTGATCGGTAGGCTTATTTATAAAGGCCAGTTTAACCCCCACTTTTTGTCGCTCCAATTTCTTTTGTATATTAGTAAATCGCGAGGATATATTGTTAGCTTGATTACAAGATCTTTTGCATCTAATAACTGACCCGACAGGGTGGAAAGAACTTGACTTGGAAAACTTGATGAGGCTCATATCTACAGCTCCTTGGCACTGATTCCGGTTCACATGCGTTAAAACGCAACTTCAGTAAATGTGGTAAGATGTGCGACATCGGAACATTTCTAATGTGAGTTAACATTATATTTTGTGCATAAGTTTATCCAGTGTTTAGCTCAGATTAGAAATTGTAAAGTAGAGCTCTACACCTGAGGCAAAGCAATCTAACAATAGCTTTACAGCGACTTAACCTCTAGCTTTCTCCGTTTCTCAAAGGCTGCACGACGGCATTCCGTGTTGGAGGAGCGTTTTCTCGACGGTTCGTTGTTAACTGATACCTGCTCTACGGTTTTCCTTTCAAAGTTAAAAATCGTTGGTAAGGCATCTGGTTTCAGTCTCAGTTTTTTAAGCTTGAACTGGACTCCAAATGTTGCCCTTAATGCGAGATTTTGCTCGAAGCATTGAGGAGAAAAATGAGCGGAGCAAAGTTTAGATGCCGCAGTTGGAGTAAAATCCTTCCTTTTCATTAGTCTCAACCATTCTTTACAACGCTTCTCATCTTTGAGAGTAAAGAAAAAAAAGCTCACTCCAGATTTGGAAGAATTACTGCAATTAAATGCGGCACAAAACACCATATTTGCTGTTCTGAAGTTTGTAATTCCCGCTCTTCTAGCGCGAGGAAGCTCACCAAATGTGACGTCACAAGATCTCTTTCCGATGAATTTTCCGAAGTTTCTCCGAACCGTTCCGTTTGTGACACGAAGAAAAAAGGCTGTTTT